AGGAATTTCAAGAATGACCTTGCAGGGGGTGGGGAAACACCATTCAATACCACATCTTACTTCCATTTCAGGAACTGGTATATATCAGTGTGTGTGTGTGTGTGTGTGTGTGTGTGTTGCTGAGTGGCCCGTGACTATTTTTTAAAATGGTCAGAGCACATGGCGTGACCAAGGTAATATCAGACTTTTCTGTGACAAGTCCGTAGGTGTTCTGTTCTACTCAGTATGAAATCTGAGGTCAGTGCCACACTATGGCGGGTCTAAAGGAAGTGGACAAAGAGTTTTCCACTTACATTCTCTCTCTCAAACTCTTGTTTCAGGAAGCTACTGATTAAAATAATCAAACTTTCATATTTAAATATGTCTATGCATGTATTTGTAGGTGATTTGCTTTTTGAATCTGCACTGATTTGCAGGTGCTCCATTATTTCTGCTTGTGAAGAGATTTGGTCAGATCGACTTCCATCATGGCAGAACGGGTCATCTTCCAGCTGTAGAACGTATATTTGGGGCAGTTGGCAATACTTTTAGGTATCGACTATTTAGATTTAAATTTTTTGAGTTGGGCTAAGAAATTCCTGAATTATAATTGAATTGTAATAGGAAGTTGTTGGAATCTATGTGTATTTAGGGATAAGGAGGAGACAGGATTAGATTAGGTGGGTAATACTGTTAGCATTTTTTGGTTTTTTTTGTTTTGTTTTGTTTTGTTTTCGTTCCTTTTGTGACTTGGTGGATCTGAGATTATTTCCACAGTCATGACTTATCTCCAGCTACCATGGCCCAGGGAAGCCAATATTTGTATTTTAAAGAAGACTTGTATTTTGGAAGTGTTTTGTTTTAGAGTTATGCTGCACTTGCTTAGATAGTACATACTTTCTGTATCCCTCTGTCCCACCAATTTCTCTGTTGTTAATATTGTACTTTTTTGTGGCTCGTTTGTCACAACCAATGAACTAGCTTGATGGCTTACTATGAACTCAGCTGCCCAATGGATTCTTTTTAAGTTGTTTTTTTTATCATTTTTAATTTTTAAGTACATATGTGTATTTGTGTGTGTGTATTAGTCAGGGTTCTCTAGAGTTGCAGAACTTATGGAATGAGTCTATATATGTGAATTTATTGGAATGACTTACATCATTACATTACATTACAATGGCTAGCTGTAAACAGAGAGTCCAAAAATCTAGTAGCTTCTCAGCCCCACGCGGCTGGGTGTCTCAGCTTGTCACAGTATGTACCGGAATCCCGAAGAAGTAGACTCCCTTGCCAGTGAAGGAATGGATGCGCTGGCAAGGCGAGGGCAAGCAGGTCAAAAAGAAACCCTTTCTTCTTCCATTGCCCTTTTCGACATCCAGCAGAACGTGTGGCCTACATTAGAGGTGTATCTTCCTACCTCAAAGTCTGGATTAAAAGTGTACGTCATCCCACCTCAAGTTCTGGGTCAGAGGCTGTGTCTTCCAGCCTCAAGATCCAGATCACAGGTATGCACTTCATTTCTGGATTGTTGTTTGTCCAGACATGGTCACGTTGACAACCAAGAATAACTGTCACAGTGGGTGTGTGCACGTGAGTGCAGGCGCTTGTGGAGTTCAGAAGAGGGCAGCAACTTGGATCTTGAGTTACAGGCAATTGTGAGCTGCCCAGAGAATGCTAGGAACTAAGCCTGGGGCCTCTAGAAGAACAGTGAATGCTTTTGACCAACCAGTGAGCCAGCTCTACAGCCCCCGCATACTGGATTTTACTAGATTTTTCTTCTTGTCTTTTCTCTGTTTGTATTTCAGGATGATCTTATTCACAGTCCAGGTCAGGATACCGTTAGATCTACATGCCTTACTGACATTGTGTCTTCCGGGCTGTGACACTTTCTTTGATTATGATTGTTATGAATGGCCTTGACAGTGTTGAAAAGCACTAGCCAGGTGTTTGGGTGGGGTGTCCTCAGTCTTCATGTGTATAGTGTTTTAGGGGTAAACTGTGATTGTGGGACCCTGAAGACCCATGAAGTCCATTCTCCCGTCAAGTACAACAGTGCGTTGGCATGACATTGTGGAGTGCGTGAGGCTTGCCTAGCTCACTGGTCTGTCTGATTTCTCCTGTGTCAGGAGAAGCTCGCCTGCCTTCACACTCTACCTCAGGCAGGCTTTTGCCAAGGGCAGCCACATTCAAGGGTCCAGGGAAATATCTGTGGCTTGCACGATCAGAAAACCCATCTTTACAATCAAACGTGTCACTGATCACTGTAGCATCTTCCTTTGCTTACAGAACAGGGGTCTATGGAGTGAGGACAGCTTTAGGGCTGCTTTTCCTTCTGACCTCAGACCATACATTCAGATATCTGACCATGTAAGGACTTGTTTATATAACTTAGTATCTTGACAAGTAATTTAACAAACTAACTTAATATTTTGACCTTTTTTCTCTTGTGGTCTCTCTAAATAGTGTATTATTTGACATACCCCCCCTTTTTGACACTCTAAATGAATATCAGAATGACATTTTCCTAATTTAGAACAATATGTTACTACCTTGCCAGACACCAGTGGAACTAAGTTTGGCTTGCTTTTTTTTTTTCTTGTATTTTGCATCTTTTTTTCCCCATATCCCCTGTCAGTTTCTGCCACTGTTAATTTGTCTGCCTCCGGCACTATATTGCTAATTGTTGGTAACTCTCTCGCTTTCTGTGAATTTAGAATGTAGGCTGCCAGCCTCCTACGGGGCCTACGTGTTAGACTATGTAGATGGAGTTGGTATGGGAGAGCTGGGGTGGGGAGCCTGTGTGACCTGTGTGTGTGAATAGTTGAGCGTGTGTGAACTGTGAGCATGTCAGGGCTTGACTCTTAGCAAGCTTATGTACTTGCCAGAGGTTTCCTGGGCAAACTTGCTGGCTCGTGGAACGGCGAGTTTGGTTAAGTTGTATTACCATAATTTCAAAGAGGCCACTTTTATAAGTAAATTGTTTTCTAGCATATACATTAATCACCGTGGCGCTGTGATACTTCCTGTTCACATTTATGAAGGAGATAGATGCTGAGCACAGTGAACTGAGATTCAATGTTTACTGGGATTTAAAAATGTGTAAGTCATTTGTAGTGATTGCTTTTAAAAATAATATCCCGAATGCTCTAAAATTGGTCTTCCTAGCTTCTGTGTGTAGGTCATGTTCCCTACTTTGGAAATGACTAAACTACAGGCATTAGGCAGGCACTCGGGCTCAGCTGATTAAGGCGCTGTCACCAAGCTTGATGACCTGAGGTCTAACCCCAGAGGCCATGATGCAGGAGGAGAGAAGGGTCTGGAGTTGCTGCCCCACTTCCCAGTGTAAATCCTAGAGCTTGCATGTACACAGACACACATACACTAGATAAATATACATAAACAAACAAACAAACATGTAAAAGGTATAATTTGAAAAGAGTGAGGAAACAGCCAAAGCACTTGAGCACTTATTTTACTAATAATGCTTTATTGGTAAAGTTGGAGTCTCTCCATAGTGTTGACTGACAGGTGGTTCTCGATCGCCCATGGTGGTTGTGGTTGAGTGTGCACGCTGTAGCCTCTGCTGCAGTGGGAGATGAAAGTCTACAGCCAGAGCACAGGCAGAAGCCATCAGAGCAGTTAGCATGGCCTCAGCACTGGCCATAAGACGTTTATTCCGAATCCCTGATAATCCACGGAGGACTTGTCTCCTCTTGAGTCTGCTGTATGCAGGGATGGTAAGGCCAGGTCCAGAGCTGAGCTGCTGCCGAGGCTACAGCCATGCAATTGGTACATAGGCCTCTCCAGGGAATTATTAATAATTGGTATCTATGGGTAATTTAGGATAATTAGAGGGGGTTTAGTGGGTGACTAAGAAGAGTAATGGCATCTGTTTCTTCTGGACAAACACTTTCTTTGTCTTGCAAAGTGGAAAGTAAAGCACCTTGGGCTTCCAAGTCTCTAGCAAAGGTGAATTCCTGTGTTCAGTGTGAGTTTTACAGTTACCGGCTCCTCACGGGACTGTTGGAGTGGGTTCCTTGCAGCAGATCTGAATCTTGGAAATTGGATTCCTGGTTTCTTTCTTAATTCATTACTGTTCCCACTCGTGACAATGTGTAAGAATTCACCCTTTGGTGTATTCCTTTCCCAGCCCAGGGCAGTTCCCCTGTGTCATTACTGTCCTTCAGGAGTCATCCTTGCAAGTGGCTTCGTCTTATTTTTATCTAGAGACCAGTGGTTTTGTATTTGCTCTGAATTAGTTTGTTTTCTCTTTGTTTTTAGTTTTATGCCTCATGGTCTCTGCTACAGATTATTTTTCAAATTGCTATTTTCTTTGCGTGCAATAGTTTAAAATATAATTTCCGTGTCTGTAATACCACTACCAGATTTGAATTTTACTATTGTAAATATTTTTTTCTGATTTGAAGATATAGTCACAATAAGATTCAACAAATACTTTCAGATTTTCACTGATATTCACTCAAAAATAAACAGTATAAGAAAAATATTCAAATTATATATAACTACCTGTTAATTTTTGGATATTTTCTTTTTCTTTTGTATTTTTATGTCATTGACTGCTATTCAAGTGTGCTGTTGTAAAAATTAACATTAGATGTTAACTTCTTCTTAGATGAAAGGAATTCTTTGAAACATGCACACATTTTTAATTGACTAAAATGTTTTTTCTCTGAATATATTAACATTCTTTAAACATTTAGATATTGTTAGTCTTTGCTTTATTTCTCCCTCCATACCAAGTGCAGTTTGGAGAATGTCTTTGGGGTTTTGTTTGTTTGTTTTTTGAGATAAGGTTTCTCTGTGTAGCTTTGGAGCCTGTCCTGGAACTCACTCTGTAGACCAGGCTGAGCTTGAACTCACAGAGATCTGCTTGTCTCTGCCTCTCAAGCCCTGGGATTAAAGGCCTGTGCCGCCACCACCCGGCTTGGATACTTTCTTGTGGTATTGGTTAAGTTGGCTTTCTGAGAGAGACCATAAGAACATTGTCTTCTCACACTGACCTCCCCTGGCCTTAAATGTCATTGAAATACAAACCCCAGGTCATCCTTGTCTTCTTTCCTCAGCTTACGACCCTGGGAAACCTCACGCCTCCCAGCACTGTGTTTTTCTGCTGTGACATGCAGGAAAGATTCCGACCAGCCATCAAGTACTTTGGAGACATTATTAGTGTGGGACAGAGACTGGTATGTCTGTCTGTCTGTCTGTTCCAATCTGCTGAGGCACAATATGCATTCATATCGCTACTCAACACATTTTTCTTTTTACAATTTTGTTTGATATTTTTCTTTCAGTTACAAGGAGCTCGGATATTAGGAATTCCCGTTATCATAACAGAACAGTACCCCAAAGGCCTTGGCAGCACGGTGCAAGAAATCGACTTAACAGGTGTCAAACTGGTTCTTCCAAAGACCAAGTTTTCTATGGTGTTACCGGAAGTGGAAGCGGCCTTAGCCGAGATTCCTGGCGTCCGCAGTGTTGTACTGTTTGGAGTAGAAGTAAGCACCCCCTTGGGTTTGGGGGGGTGTGAGGTCTTGTTTACAGGATGCCAGTAGGTGAGTGGCCCTGAGGGGAAGTGGCCACCACTGGTTACATGTCCTCCACAGCATGGTACTGATTTAAATGCCTTGTGGCTGTTACCACCTTGAACTTTCACAGCCCTGTGAACTGTGAACCCTTTGTCTCCCAGGATCACAGATAAGAAACTAAAGTATAGCCATGTCAGTGCCTTGCCCATGGTCAGCCACCCAATGAGGAGGCAGCATTTGAATTTAGGCCAGTGATCCTCAGCTGTCCTGAGAACCGCCTGCGTTTTCTCTAAAGGCATTAATTATTTTTATTTGTGTGTTAGTGGGCTTCACAGGGGGCACCTTTTGTGCTTTACCCCACCTCACCCCATTCCCAAGGTTATATAGTTCACCATCCTGCAAGTAGGTTTGTATTCCTGCTCTTATGAAGAAAAAAAAAACAACATACTCATGGATTCCTGGTGCCAATTTTGGTTGATTTATTATGTTTTATTTTATTTATTTTTTGAGATAGGACCTTGCTAAGTAGCATGGAACTCACAATGTAACCTAGGCTGGCATTGAACTGATAGCAATCCTCCTGCGTCTGCCTCCTGCATGCAGAAATTGCAGGACTGTGCCTCTATACTCAGCTTATTTCTAACTTTTAAACAACTGAAATTTTAAAAATTATGAATTATGAACAAAATTATTAACATAATTTTAAAATTTAAAATTATGAACAAAATTATTAACTCACTGCGATAAAATAACACAAACTTAGCATGGTTATATTTTGATAATAAGGTTTTATCATAATAGATTTTTCAAAGCAGAAAAAAATGTAATCTTGTTTGATGCCCATTAAGTATTTTTTTTATATTTTCAGTTCAACCGTGAAATTAGAGAGGAAGCGTGTGTGTGCAAGTATATAGTACAAACGCGGCGGCTTTTGCATGTTTTTTTGTTCATCATACTTAGCTCTCATGCTCAGGTGAAATACTTTCAGAGCAGAGGAGTGCTTTAGGACTATCTGCATGAGGTAGTAGCTGGTCATTCACCAGAGCTTTCTAGTCACGTGAGGACAGTCGGCATTGGGCATGGTGGCGCTACCGAAAACATAACTCGCTGGTTATGTGACCTAGTTACCGTAGTTACCGTTAGAGGGAGCTTTTGCTTTGTGTCCTCTGCTGAGGCAAGTCAATGCCTGCAAAGACAGGGTCTGTGCAGTAATGGTAATAGATACTGAGTAAATCCTTATTTTCACATGAATAACCGAAGCTAGGTAATGCTGATTTATGCTCAAAACTACCTGGCTAGCTGGAGCCTAAGCTAAATGAGGAAAGGGCCATTCGATTTTCAGTCCTTTCTGTTCTGCCCTAATGTAGATTTACAAAATGTTTTTATGGGTTTTGGCCCGCATTGTAAATTATTTGCTTTCGCCTGTCTTTACTTCTGCATGACTCAGTTTCCCAGTAATTTCTGAGTCCTGCAGCTCATCCTCATTATGTACTTGATATGAATGTAGATAATAGTGAGTGTTAATAGTGAGCTTTCTCAAGGCCACTCCTAGGGCTTAGGTGAAAGTCAGCAGAAACTGCAGGGAATTCCAGAGTATGTTCAATGTGACCTTGAGAAACCTTGATAAAGCCAGCTGGAGAATGCTGATGTGTGTTAGAAATCACCTAGCTCAAGAGAACCTAAACAGGGCCGTTAAATATTACAGTGACCTCTTGCATCCTTTTTGAACTCAGATAAAGCACCAATAGTTTCATGCGTCCTTACATGTGATCCTTTGCTTTCCTGCTAGACGCACGTGTGTATCCAGCAAACTGCCCTGGAGCTGGTCGGCCGAGGCATTGAGGTTCACATCGTCGCTGATGCCACCTCCTCAAGAAGCATGATGGACAGGATGTTTGCTCTTGAGGTACTTGCTCTACTTAAAATTAAGTTCTTCATTGAGTTTTCTGAATAGCAAGACTTGGATATTTAGCAGTCTCTAATAATTTGCCTTTTAGACAAATGGCTTGGTCTTGGTATATCAAGACCATTACTTTTCAGAGAACAACTGTGCACTAGCTGGCCTTTCAGGTACCTACCTTGCTGTTCTACAGTTTTTCCTTGGGATTAAATTTCTAGAGATGCCAAAAATTCCTTGATCACTTTACCGTAGTGTTCAGGTAGCCGGGACTGAATTTTTTTTTTTTTTTTTTTTTTTTTTTTTAATATTTATTTTATTGTGTATACAATATTCTTTCTGTGTGTATGCCTGAAGGCCAGAAGAGGGCACCAGACCTCATTATAGATGGTTGTGAGCCACCATGTGGTTGCTGGGAATTGAACTCAGGACCTTTGGAAGAGCAGGCAATGCTTTTAACCACTGAGCCATCTCTCCAGCCCGCCGGGACTGAATTTTATAGAATCGCAAAGTAGAAACAATTCAGGCAGGTTAACTCAAGCAACATCTAGGCCCAGACTCTGGCAGAACGGATCTAAGCCTGAGTAACCTTTTGTAAATGACTGCTTCCTGGCTGACACTGGATCAGCCGTTCTTTATCAGTGTTGCCCAATAACCATCTGAACTAAGTCCTTCTGTTCCAAGACTGTTGAGGCTAGTAGTCCTTAATCCTGGGGATGTTTTTACTCCAGAATGAGTGTGTGTGTGTCTCTCTCTCTCATACTTAATTCTAATTCACCAATAACTTTGAATGTATATATGGATCTAATTTCAAACGACTTATTTTTTATTAAGAATGAACAATGCAGAACTAGCAAGATGACTCAGAAGGTAAAAGAGCTTGGTGAGGTAACCTGATGACCTGAGTTCAATTCCCGAATCCCACAGTGAAAGGGGAGGCGTGAATCTTGAATGTTATCCTCTCACCTCGACATGCACGGAGAACAATGTGTGGACATGTTCATGCACACACACACTAATAAGTAAAATACAGACTCAAAGCAATTTTAAATAAATGCCAAAGGGTTTGTTTTGTCGCGAGATCATGCAGTACTCTGGGTGCAAACTGATGTATGCATTGTTCTCTGTTAGAACTGCGTCAGCTCTGTAGCCCAGAGTGCCATCAAGCATGCAAAAGGAATGGACAGAAGAGGAAAGGCCACGGGGAACAGGCCGTAGGTAGCAACAACTGGTTGGCCTCCCTTCTTGGTTTTCCCCTAGAGAGTTGAATCCCTGTTGTTATTACAGATAGAAATTTGCTGTTTGTTTATTTGTTGTAGTATTTATACTTATTTGAGCATTTCATGCATTGTTTTTTGAGCATATTCGATTCTCTCCAGTGTCTCCATCCTCGAATCTCTTCCCATCCAAGTTTGAGATTACTCTTTTTTCTAGGTCCTTTCCCTGTCAAGTTCAGTTTGTGTGGGTCAGCTGGTCTTGGGTTGAGTTCAGCCCTGCAGTGTGATTGGTTAGCCTATCAGGCCTTGTGGACTTAAAAGAAATGGACTCGGACTCACCGTTCTCCTGGTGTAGTTGTGGAATTGTGTGTCCACCTTCCCCTCTCTGTGCTGGGATTTTATCTGTCTGGGGCTTATACGGGTCTCGCTTGTGAGTTCACTTGTGCATTTGCCCTGTGTTCCTAGAAAATACTGCGTCTTTGATGCTGTCTACCACTTCCCACTCTTCCAGCCTTTCCGTCCTTCCTCCTCAGAGACCCCAGAGCCTTGTGGTGTGGAGCCTGAAACCATTGTCCGATAGGTAGAAGTTTAGTTTGTTAAACCGTCCCCATGCACGTTGGGAATGTTAGTTTTCCTGGCTTTTAGTAAGTGGTGCTGCTTCTCCTGGAAGCAGAGATCTGTAAGCTCTCCTTCAGGCAGGAGTTCATTAGGACCCACTTTTCAGGTTTTCTTATTAAGCTGAGGTTTTACAGCTGCTGTCAAGCCGACCATCTGTCAGCCCGCAGCTGTCTTCAGCTACCTGCACAGGGGAAACTGTATTGTCATGGTAATGCTCAGACTTTGAAGTATTTCAAAGCCATGCAAACTAAACAAAGCCATGTTTGCTGTGAAGATATTTCCAGGATTTTCCTCCTACATTTGTATGAGCTTTATTTATGTCTTTATTCTTCTCTCATACCTTACATTCCGACCAGTGTTCCTCTCCCTCCATCCCTCCCAGGCCCTGCTCCCACTCCCCCAGACCTACTGTGCTTCCCATTTCCTTTCTGAAAAGTGCTGGCTTCCCAGGGATGTCAGCTGAATGCAGCATAATGGGCAAGACTAGGCGCACGGCCTCATATCCAGGCTGGATGAGACAACCCAGCAGGAGGAAAAGGGTCCCACAGAAGGCGAAAGAATCAGAGACATTCCCACTCCCACTCTTAGGAGTCCAACAAAAGCCCCGAGCTAAATGACCACATTATGTAGGCAGAGGGCCTAGTGCTGTCCCAGGCAGGCTCTGGTTGCCGCTTCAGTCTCTGTGAGCTCTGCTCTATTGATTCTGTGACCCTGGGACATTCTACAAAGGGACAGAAAGAGCCTGC